GAGAGACATAGTCTCTCCAGCGTGTCCTGGGTCTTCCCCGGGGCCTCCTCCCGGTGGGACGTGCCCGGAACACCTCCCCAGGAAGGCGTCCAGGAGGCATCCTGAACAGATGCCCGAGCCACCTCAACTGGTTCCTCTCGACGTGGAGAAGCAGCGGCTCTACTCCGAGCTCCTCCCGTGTGACCGAGCTCCTCACCCTATCTCTAAGGGAGCGCCCAGCCACTCTGCGGAGGAAGCTCATTTCGACCGCTTGTATCCGCGATCTCGTTCTTTCGGTCATTACCCACAGCTCATGACCATAGGTGAGGGAGGGAACGAAGATTGACCGGTAAATTGAGAGCTTTGCCTTTCGGCTCAGCTCCCTCTTTACCACAACGGTCCGATACAGAGACCGCATCACTGCGCACGCTGCACCGATCCGCCTGTCAATCTCACGCTCCATCCTCCCCTCACTCGTGAACAAGACCCCGAGATACTTCGGTTTTCTTTAAATCCACACTTTAGTGCCCCTCTGTGCACGTGCATGAGAGCCACACACGCGTATTTGGCGCAACGCATCATGGGAGATCATCCACTGCGCAGAACCGGGAAGACCAGACGATGTCCAAATACAGGCGAGTTCCCATGGATCTTTGCAAGTTCCAGGCGAGTTCCGCTAATCTTTCGGCGCCCATGCCGCCACAATGCGCTACTGCCACAGTCACTACTAACGGTATCACATATCCCACCTTCACTCTACACAGGGGTACACGGCAAGGATGTCCACTCTCTCCCTCTCTTTTTGCCCTTTTTATAGAACCCCTCGCAGCCGCAATACGACAAAACAATAGCATTCATGGCATTCAAGTTATAGACACAGAACATACAAAACGTTTATACGCAGACGGCATCTTGCTTTATCTACAATCTCCCCAACAATCACTACAGGAAACCCTCAAAACCATACACTCTTTCTCATCCATATCTGACTACACCATAAACTGGAACAAATCAACAATACTACCGCTTTTGGACAACATGTGGGATTCTGCAGCCCAGGACACCCTTCACGGAATGCACATAGGCAATATTAGATACTTGGGCATTAACATTTCCTCCAGGCTGTCAGAGTTGCTCTCACTTAATCATACTCCACTCCTTAAAACAATTCAACTCGACTTAGAACGATGGACAAACCTACCACTCTCAATAATTGGACGCATCGCCGCTGTTAAAATGAAAATACTCCCCAAACTCAAATACTTATTTGCTAACATCCCCACTACACCACCGGACAAATGGTTTAACTCACTCGACACAATAATAACACAATTTTACTGGATAAAAAAACAGACCAAAATCAAATTATCAACACTACAAAAAGACAAAGACAAAGGCGGCTTGGATGCACCAAATTTCTTAGACTACTATCTGGCAAACCAGCTACAATACTTGGTAAAATGGACAAAACCACCACCCAATAACCCATGGATTCAAATAGAACAATCATATTTCAAAAAACTACCCATAGAAGACACCCCAGCCATAAGTACCAGCCTAAAGAAATACGACTCATTTAAGAACTTGACCATCTCCAACACTCTGACAGCCTGGTGGAAAACTTTGAAATTAAACAACTCACCCACTACACCCTGTAAATACACACCCCTCTGGCACAATCCTGACTTCAAAACTAACAATACACCTATTCACTTTCACTCTTGGGAACAGAACGGAATTACTCATTTGCATCATCTTTTTAATAATGGTAAATTTATGACATACAGAGAACTCTCCGAAAAATACAAACTGCACAACAACAATAGCTTCCAATACTTTCAAATCAAGTCTATAATAAAAAGTAAAATTAATATAATAAACAACCCTTTAAATCCCCCACAATTATTAGAAAACATAAAGAAAATCCAATCACTTAAGAAACTAACCTCAAAATTATACAAATTCATAAAGACTGAGGAGACAATACACACACCACAGATCAAATGGAATTTGGACATGAACACATCTCTCACACAAGAAAACTGGACAGAAATATGCAACAATACCTTCTCCATGACACCCAACGCTAATCTACAACTAATTCAGTATACAATCATTCACAGAACACACATTACACAATATAAAAAATATAAAATGGGATTCTTAAACACAACCATTTGCCTGGGAGTCACAGTTCATCTGCAGTTCATCCAGAGTGATCATGGGCCTCTTGGCTGCATCTCTGATCAGTCTTCTCCTTGTTTGAGATGAAAGTTTGGAGGGACGGCCGGGTCTTGGTAGATTTGCAGTGGTCTGATACTCCTTCCATTTCAATATAATTGCTTGCACAGTGCTCCTTGAGATGTTTAAAGATTGGGAGATCTTTTTGTATCTAAATCCGGCTTTAAACTTCTCCACAACAGTATTTCGGACCTGCCTGGTGTGTTCCTTTGTCTTCATGATTTTCTCTGCGCTTTAAACAGAACCCTGAGACTATCAAAGAGCAGGTGCATTTATACGGAGACTTGATTACACACAGGTGCATTCTATTTATCATCATCAGTCATTTAGGACAACATTGGATCATTCAAAGATCCTCACTGAACTTCTGGAGTGAGTTTGCTGCACTGAAAGTAAAGGGGCCTAATAATATTGCACGCCCCACTTTTCAGTTTTTTATTTGTTAAAAAAGTTTAAATTATCCAATAAATTTAGTTCCACTTCACGATTGTGTCCCACTTGTTGTTGATTCATGACAACAAATTAAAATTTTATATCTTTATGTTTGAAGCCTGAAATGTGGCGAAATGTTGAAAGGTTCAAGGGGGCCGAATACTTTCGTAAGGCACTGTACATATACACACAAACTCCTCACGAACACAGATTAGGGTCACCAGCGGGGATGGTTGCCAGAGGGAACTCTATTTGGTGCCACCCCTGCTTGATTTTTAATGCATCAGTCAGGACACTACACATCCTAGCACCTCTACACCACACCCCACCCAATATGTATATCAGATCCCTCCCAGGATTGTTTAGAACCTTTTTGGGTGATGGTATTGGCGGCAGGACCAGTCTATAGATTTACAGTGCAGTTGGATGTAACTACTGTATATGTACTCCCCTATCACTGGGTGATTCAATAAAAAAACAAAAAAAACTTCGAGAGTTTGGCGCACCACAAAAAAACCAATGCGCCACTGAGCACAAACCATTCATTTGAAGACGGAAACAAGTCATAATAATAAAAAAAATATTTTGCAGTACAAAGTGAAATACATTTAAATTCGGACAGCACACCAAAATCTTCACTTCAAATCTGAAGTGCTGGGGACGTTCACCTCTGGCATCATCTCACCAGATATATCTGCACTGTGAGGTGTGCTCGTCGCTGCATGTGGTGGATGTATGAATTGAAAACACATGCAGGGCTACCTGTACATTCCTTTAGACAAAGGCATCCCTAAGCCTAAATGTAGTATGTTCAATTCAATATTCACAACACTTCATAGTCATACACATTCGTTATGTAGTTTGTAGGTGTTTTGTCAAAGGAAACTCATATCGATGGCTAGGGTTTGAATACTCACCACTTATTAGTAATGCACGACGACTCGACTCCAATAACTTTGGCTGGGTGGTTGGCTTGGTGCCCAGTATAGCGTCCACAGCGGCGTACAGAATTCTCCTTTTCCTCCGCAGGGGAGCCGGACTTGTACATGAGGCCACGAACACGATGGTACTGAGTTTGGAACTTCTTATCTTACCCCAACATTGAACCATCAACCTGTTGTAGCCCCTCTCCACCAGGTATTTGCTAATGTTTCTGAAAACCAGCAAATTCTTGTATGTACGGTCGAGCATTTCCTCTACGGATGTGTCCAACCAGATCTCAATTAACCATTCGGTCTCTGAGTCAGACCAACGCGAACCCTTGAAGCAAGGCATGGTCTTCTGTCTTCGGTTGCACAAATCCAAATGTGTTTATGGTGTTGTGGACGCATTTTAGTCACGTCACAACGGGCGCAGCCGGAAGATGCGGAATTTGACGCACAATATCACGTCCCCACCACACCTCATCTCCCACTCTCGCCACACTGAACCCCCTCATCTGGGCTTCAGAAGCGTGCCCTGGCCCACCTCTCTGAACTGAAGCGTGCTTAGGCCCACTTGCAGCAACCGTGCCCAGGCCCACTTGCCGCGGTCACATAGCACCTAAACCCCGGATGTCAAGCTAAGGACAGAACATTTTGGCTCTGATGAACAAGACCAGGGATTGGCAACCTCTGTTGTCAAAAGAGCCATTTTGCGTCCTTTTCTGCCATTTGTTTGGCACCGCAACAAAAAACACAATTGTTACACAACTAACACTAACATAAAAACAACATGTGAATATAGTTGAAAAAAACATTTGCTTTGACTTAGAAAACAATGTTACAAAAGTCAGTTTACATTGCGCCTATGGAAGGGGGTCTGAGGTCAAGTTTGTGCTAAACCACAAAATTCGGTACACTTGTTCGTCAACTCAAATCATGAAAAAAACGTATTATGGCCACACCCCATGACAAACTTGAAGCCTGTTGATTTAAAGGGAAAATGGAAAAATTAAAGTTGATCATTTTCACAGATGTTGGTTGGAAATCAACTCCTCGGCCGTTTCACTGATTAAGTTCAAAATTGCTTCACATTGTCTAAACACTCATCATTTTGATGTAAAAAAATATATATATTTTTGACAATAGCAAATTCGCTCCTGTTTGCACCTACAAAGTCCAATTTGCAAAACATTTTAATGCATTCTTCAACTTATTCTTGTGTTTTTTCTCACAAATACTCTTAAGTAGCTGTTAGTAAGTGACACTTTACAAAAGTTCACAAAAACTCTTAACTGACTGTTAGTAACTGACTGAATAAATCATGCACTGCAGTATTATTTTATAATTATGTATACAATTATTAACATGTGGTTTAATCATGGTGTAACAAACCATTTGTACTGTGTACTGTGTGTTTGCACTGACCTCATCATCACAGCTGCAGCCCAGGTCGTGCGTTGCCGTGGCATCAGAGTCCAGGGGCGGGGTTGGTGATGTCACTTCCTGTGGCATGGCAGGGGAAAAGGGCGGGTTTCTCAGTATGTCGTTTAAACTGCCGTATGTGCCGTTGTTTGGGGCCGGAGTCAAGTCCAACAGGTCTGAACACACAGAGGTATTTGTCAATCATCTGAGCTCTTAGCCACAGCATGTAATTTTCACACTGCAAAAATAGAACTTTGTAATTAAACCCAAGGCTCTTCATTCTACTTTGTTATATAAGAAACAGCAACAAGTCAGGTACCCCAGCATAAAAGTTGAAGAACCACAGAAATAATCGGACTCAGCTTCGAGGACGATGACACAGAGTACAGAGGAGTTATACAGAAGTTTGTGGACTGGTGTCAGCGGAACCACCTCCTCATCAACGCGGTGAAGATCAAGGAGATGGTGGTGGATTTCCGCAGACGTCACTCTGCCGCTCCAGCTCCAGTGAACATCCAGGGTAAGGACATCGAGAGAGTGGACTCTTGCAAGTACTGGACTCATAACACAGACGCCCTCTTCAAGAAGGGCCAGAGCCGCCTCTACCTGCTGAGGACGCTTAGGTCTTTTGGAGTGCAGGGGCCACTCCTGAAGACCTTCTATGACTCTGTGGTGGCATCAGCCATCTTGTACGGTGTGGTCTGCTGGAACAGCAGCATCACAGAGAGGGACAGGAAGAAGCTGGACAAGGTCATCAGGAAGTCCAGCTCAGTCCTGGGCTGTTCCCTGGACACAGTGCAGCAGGTGGGGGACAGGAGGGTCCTGAGCAAACTAACATCTATGCTGGACCATGACTGTCACCCCCTGCAGGACACTCTCTCTGCTCTGGAGAGCAGTTTCAGTGACAGACTAATTCACTCTCGCTGTGTGAAGGAGAGGTTCCGTAGGTCTTTCATTCCTGCTGCTGTCAGACTGTACAATAAGAACTGCTGAGCCTGTAAATTTCATTCATCTGTAACTAAGTAAATTCTTAAATCATGTGCAATGTGCAATACTGCTCCTTCAGGATGTCACAGAACAATGTCACTTTTCCTCATGTCACTTTACTTATATACTTTTTATCCTGCACTATTTAACTGTACAGTATATAACGACACTACTACTACATATATATATTTTGACTGATATTGAAGCATTTTCAGCATCTACAGCTAGTTATGTTAGCTAAGAAACATAGCTACTACTTATTTGTATATAGTGTATATATTGTGTGTGCTCCCTGTGTGCTCTTACTACTGTCCTATATGTGCGATGCAACATCGAAATTTCAACTTATATAATATAGAATAAGGTTTTACACACATTTTTTATACAGTTAAAATGCTATAAAATGTCAAATTTCTTCTAGTTCATGTCATTATTTAGACTGTACACTTAGGCTGAGTGTGACATCACCATTGTGCTAGCTGATTTGAACAAAAACTAGCTGGAGCCAATTTTCTACTATGTTAAGACTGTTGCTAAGGCAAGTTGAAGTTTTTAACACGCAAATGAAGGATTTTCATGCTTTGATCAACCTTGTGTTGTGATGTCTGACAAATACAACTTGATTTCATGTGGCTGAAGACTTACCGCACATGACGTTGTAGAGCTCGATGTTCTCGAACTCTGGAACCATCTTCTGGAACTGGAAACTGGGGCCGTGTCCGATGAAGATGGTCTGAGGAGAGGTTATGTGCATTTAAAACATGCTCATAGTGTTCCAAAGAGCGATAGTTTCACATAGTGGTGATCAGGAGATAAATGTGGTAACTATGATAAGTGTCAAATGTCAGATTTTGATTGAAGTTTCTCAATAACTTTTCTGTAATTCCTGAAACAATCCACATGAAACAAAAACTGTCATAAAGTTCCACATCTTCTGTGACAGCAACAGCTTCTCTGTCAAGTCTGTCTCTTTGGTCTTTCTCTCTGGTCTCTTACCCTCATGCTGTTGATCTTGTTGTCGAAGCCGTGGTCTCCATTGAAAAGGCAGCGACTCCTCAACTTTTCCGGCATTTTCCTCAAACAAAAACCAAAAGAAACACATTATAAACCACAATCCGGCCAATCAATACTTTTGTTGTATTTGTGAGAATACACGTATCTCAAAAGCTAAGCAGGGGCAGGGCCTGGTCATTACTGTGATGGGAGCCTGCAGAATTACACCCTCGGCAGCAGAACACCGACATAATTACGTTACATTTAAATATCCACAAATGAGTATTTCAAAACATTCTAATTTTTTTTTAAACTTTGTTTCACTAAAACAAAGTCTGAGTCTACTTTAGTCTACTCTACTCTACTCTACTCTGCACTACCTGGTTACCATTACACTCTAGTATCTCGAATGGACCGGAATCTCGTTATGCAGGATCAGTCAAGAGTAGAGTGGAGTAGAGTAGGGCTGGTTGGAACCTGGCTATTGTCGCCATGGAAATGACTGTATGTATCCATTCACATAATCATAAAATAAACTGTTTTCTGACGTAATGGGGCGCAGCCACTACAATGTAGGTCTACTAGTGTTTCAGTACTATAACGTGTGACATCACCTTGAGCAGGAGCAATGTCGAAAAGAGACTGTCAACCAGCATGGGGTGCAGCACACACAGGCAGGATAAGGGCAACTTAAATTACATCCACCAGGGGGTATTGTATTTACCAAGGATTGTTTGAGTGTATGTTTATTTGCAACCAAACGCAGATATCAGATAATATATCAGAAAACAATATGATTGTAGATGAGCCTTAAAGCAGCCTTTAAGTTAGCTTTGAGTCATTGTCGGTAAAGTTACGTTGATTAGCTTTAGCAGTGGGTAGCTAAAGTCAGTAGATTAACTTTAGCCGTAATACCTGGCAACATGCCACTTCCGCTCCATCAGAAGGTGCACGTCCTCGATCCGCCTGTTGTTGGCATAGTGGAGGCGTTTGGGAAGGTGCTGCTTCAGGTACGCTTTAAAATGCTGAGAAGGCATTTTACACTGGAACCAGACAGGGTCACACTAATGAGAGGCTAACAACAGGCTAACGACCGGCTAATGAGAAAAGTGCTAAGAAGTTACGCTAACAAGAGGCTAATGACAACTCTGGTTTGATTCACATTTTACACTGGAACCAGCGAGGGTGAGGCTAATGAGAGGCTTTGTTTGAGTTAGCTCTAATCCTCACGGAGCCTATTTGAGTTAGCTCCAATCCTTACCGTGAGGTTGGCCACCACCACTCGAGGATCATCTACAGAGACAAAACAAGTTTTATATTGTATTTTTAAATTTCATATAAAACACATTTAAGAGTGCAGTAGCATCAGATGAAGAAGCTGCAGCAGCAGTAGCATCAGTAGCTGTACTGCAGCATTAGGAGTAGTAGCAGAATCAGTAGTAGCAGCACCAGCAACAGCAGCAGTAGCAGCAGCAGTCAAAGTAGTAGCAGCAGGAGCAGTAGCAGCAGTAGTCCTCACATGTAGCAGACTTGGGGTCTCTCGGCCGGATTCGTCCTAAAGATCCTGGGATGAGGTTAATCTCATCAATGTTCAGAGGATACGAGCTCAGGAACTCCATCCGGTCGCAGTGAGCCTCTTCCATACCTGTGTACAAGTACAAGCACTGATGAAGTACACAAGTACAAGTACTGATGAAGTACACATACAAGTACTGATGAAGTGCACAAATACAAGTACTGATGAAGTGATCAAGTAGTTAAGGAGATGAAGTACATAAATACAAGTACTTAGATACAAGTACTTATGTACAACACAAGTTGTAAAGTATTTCATGTTCAGCTTCACTGGAAGATTTGAAACCGAAATCTAAAACCTAAATAAAGATGAGGGTGGGAACACATAATAAGCAGTAAATCCAGAGCTCTGAGAGCAGACACTACTCCCTCTTCACCACATCACATTCTGATGCAGCGACCGCATCACTGCAGACTGCACCAAACGTCTGTGAATCTCACCAGTATCCTGAGAGTAACTCAGGGGTTTATCTTCAGAGTAACTCAGATCTTTATCTTGAGAGTAACTCAGATCTTTATCTTGAGTGTAACTCAGATCGTTATCTTGAGTGTAACTCAGGATAAAGATCCGAGTTACTCTCGGGATAAGTAAGTAAGTAAGTCTATTTATATGACGCTAAGAAGAAGACTTGAGATACTGGAACTTCCCAGGGGAGGACCAGGATCAGGACCTGGAGAAGACTTGGACTTCTGCACTTGGAGAGGACCAGGACCTTTCTCGGGTCCAGAACCTGGTCGTGCTGTTGCTTGTGTGTTGTATGTTTGTTTGTTTGTTTGTATGATGTAGTTCTGTTACCATGGTCACCGACGATGATGACGTTGACGCAGCGGTGAAGGCCCATCTGCTTCAGTCCGTTCATGAGCTGACCAATGATGTTGTCGATCTCCCGCAGAGGGTTGTCCAGCTGCTCAGGATCAAGCAACAGAAGGGTGTGGCTTCAGGAGGGTCTAACCAAACACCTGCTCCCTGAGAGGGTCTGACCAATCAACTGCTCCCTGAGAGGGTCTGACCAATCAACTGCTCCCTGAGAGGGTCTAACCAATCACCTGCTCCCTGAGAGGGTCTAACCAATCACCTGCTCCCTGAGAGGGTCTAACCAATCATCTGCTCCCTGAGAGGGTCTAACCAATCATCTGCTCCCTGAGAGGGTCTAACCAATCATATGCTCCCTGAGAGGGTCTAACCAATCATCTGCTCCCTGAGAGGGTCTAACCAATCATCTGACACCTCCTTGGTCAAGGATCTCCAGCCTGAACAGCCAGATCTTCACTGTTTTATAGTATTCTCAGTTCCCAGAGGGTCTCTGCTTGAGCTGGTAATTTCTGAGGCACATCTCTGGTCTTTTCCTGGTCTCTCGCTGGTCTTTTTGGTCTCTCTCTGGTCTTTGTCTCTGGTCTCTCTCTCTGGTCTCTCTCTGGTCTCTCTCTGGTCTCTCTCTGATCCAGAACCAGGTTCTCAAACACATGATGACGTACCTCGCTGCTGAGAGGTCCCAGTCTGTGTCCAAACGTGTCCGGCTGCTCCGAGTGAACGGCGTAAACGTACGGTCTGAAATCACACAAGTCTCTGTAAAACCATCTGTGTGCAGATCCTCTCTGGTCCCTCTCTCTGGTCTCCCTCTCTCATCTCTCTTATCCCTCTCTGAGCTCTCTCTGGTCCCTCTCTCTGGTCTCCCTCTCTCATCTCTCTCGTCCTTCTCTGAGCTCTCTCTGGTCCCTCTCTCTGGTCTCCCTCTCTCATCTCTCTAGTCCCTCTCTGAGCTCTCTCTCTGGTCCCTCTCTCTGGTCTCCCTCTCTGGTCTCTCTCCCAAGTAAGAAGTTGAGTAAGTAATGTTTATTTATAAAGCTCATTTTTATAGACCAATGTTACCCAAAGCGCTTAAGAGTTCAAATATTCTTCCAGTTACTCAAAGCCCCCAACCAACGGCATCCATCGACACTCTCATATCTATTGTGCTCATGCAAACTCTTCCCTGTTCCGACCGGGACTCAAACCCATGACCTTCTCGCTAAAGACCGCCCACTCTCTCTCTGGTCTCTCTCTAGTGTTTACCTGACGTCATCAGGCAGCTGCAGCCAGCTCAGGATGGTGAGGATCCTTCTCTCAAGAGGAATCACCCTGAAGCACAACAGCAAACTCACAATTCTACTGTATCAGGAATGGATCAAAGGAGACATGAGCTGCTCCTGACCTCTGACCATCTAGGTCAGAGGTCAGGAGGTCTAGGACCATCTCTGACCTCTATACTATGAACATCCCTGACCGCTGTTGCTCTGAATCGCTCCACCTTAAGGCCTATTGTCCCACAAAGCCGTTCAGTGTTGCGATATTTTGTGCATGCGATTAAATCAATACAGTATTGTGATATTTAATTACCCTATTTTTCTGACTATAAGCCGCTGCATTTTGAAGGCTATAGTGCTGCTTAATTTTTTTCCTGTTGCCAAAAACATCTAAAAGCAGACCAACATAATTGATGAGTACTGTAGTTCATGGAGGTCCAATTAAATGTAAGATTTGTCAATCAAGCAGATAAATAAAGTTTAAAAGTCCTTACTTATAATATTTTTATATTATATATATATATATATATATATATATATATATATATATATATATATATATATATATATAATATATATATATATATATATATATATATATAGTGCTGTCCAAAATATCGCGTTTTTTTTTTAAGTTTTTTTTTTTCTTTTTTTACTTTTTATTTATCAGACAAACACATATACAGAAAAAAAAATAGAAACAAAGAAAAGGACTAGTTCAGATACATTGTAGACAGAGATTACAAACAATATGTAGTTGGAGATACAGGGGGCCAAAGAAGAAACCCAGAAGGGCACATAGGAGGGGGGGGGACATGAAGTGGGAGATGGGGGGGAGGGGTTAATAAAAAAGGCAGTATGTAGTTCCCACATGACGTCACTACATCCGGGGATTTGCCGACCCGGCGCCATTTGTGTTGGCATGCTGTGGGCAAAACAATAGAAAAAGAAGCTGAAACGTGTTAATGTCGTGATAAAGTTGAAAATGGGCATCTCCTGCTGGGTCAATGGATGTTCAAATCGTGCCGGAGGTTCCGTTAAACTTGGATTTTACAGTATACCCATCATTAGACTTCATGAATGTGAGAAGACTAAGCTTTTGTCAGAACAACCACGGAGGTTATGGCTTGCGAAGATAAACAGGCAAGAAACTCCCTCAAAACACGCAAGAATATGCTCGGAGCACTTTGTGTCAGGTGCGTATCGTATCTTATAATGTGTTGACAGACGTAATTTACTCAGTACTAACTTGTGTATGCTGATATCTGGTAACTTGAGAGTTTCATTATTTAGATTACTTTATTATGAGGAGGATCGGTGTCGCGTCCGAGGCTCTCGAGGGCAACGTAAATGTATTAAATAGATAATAATAGTTCTATGGTGGGCTAAAACAATGTTCACAAACAGCATTGCTTCTGTAAAAAGATCTGTGTCATAAAATAAACTGCTCTTTACGCCTGGAAAAATCAGTTGCCCACCATTCACCAAAACATACGGTCAAAAACGCGGAAATAAACAATAACAGCAATCCAGAGTGTCCGTGTGGCATTAGCATTAATTAAATTAATTGTTAATATAATTAAAATAATTAAATGGAGCTCCAACTGGTATTAAATCTAAAGTTTTTGAGAAATGTTTGCATTGCTTGTTAATTTTTGCTGCATAATTTGATCAAATATGTAAAACATGTCCGTAGCACGTTAAACTGTGGTGCCATTGTATTAATATACAATTATTTGCTCAAAAGTTGCCCTTTTTTTCCAATTTGCGTTTGAATATCTACATTTATTCTCATTCTTCTGTTTAATGGAATGCACAAACACAGCAGCGTGCCATCAAAGATGGCGTCTCCGAGGAGGTCATGTGACATTCATTGGTCTGTGGGAACTATGTATACAAGCAAACAGTATACAGTCATAGATATACCGAAAGTAAACAGAGAAACAGCATAGAGTATTTACATGAACAAATTTACAAAATATTTACAGATTGTTTATCATCATCATAATGACACCATGATGTTTCTATACAGTCTATGGTCTATACCCACACATACACACACACACCCACACCCATAAACACACACACTCCACACACACACACACCCCACAGATAAGATAAGATATAAAGTCTGCCCGCCTGAGTTTCACCAAGCTAAGCGGAACCCAGCCAACATCAAAACCAAATCCGACACACACACAGACCCCCAAGCAGGCCCCCACCCCAAAAAGGGGGGGAGGGAGCCCACGCCCGGCCCATTCCCTCTCTTATTTTGTTCCTTTTTCCCAAGTGTTTTTCTTAACTAAACGTGTCATGCATTAAAATAAGCTTTCGCTTACCCTGACTTGTGTATTATCATTATATGCACATATGCACATATTATTCATGTTATTATTATATTTATCTACTTATTCATTCATTTTTTATTTTATTTTATTATTATTATTTATTTTATTTTATTTTTATTTTATTTTAATTAATTCAAGGGACATAAAGAATAGATACAAATGTGTGACTAATTTGCGATTAATCGCGAGTTAACTATGAAATTCATGCGATTAATCGCGATTAAATATTTTAATCATTGGACAGCACTAATATATATATATATATATATAATAGATAGTTTTTTGGTTCCTTATACAGACATGAAAGTGAAAAGAGACCTTATGTTTCTGCTTCACACTGAAAGATTAAGACTAGTCAGTGACTTATATGTATCATACTGTTGTTGTTGTTGTTAGTTGGGGCGACACACAAACATATGGACTTGAGTTCCAGAGTAGCATTTGTGAAGGTGAATACAGCAGGATAATCAGTACTAACTTAAGTACCAAGGCCAGAAGAATGATGCTGCTTTCACTCCCTGTTTCTCTGCCGTGATCCAGATCTGAAACAAAAACAGCCCCAAGTCACTGACCACCAGTGTTGGGCACGTTACTTTGAAAAAGTAATTAGTTATAGTTACTAGTTACTTCTCCCAAAAAGTAACTGAGTTACTAACGGAGTTACTCCACTATAAAAGTAACTAGTTACCAGTAAAAGTAACTATTACGTTACTTTTTCGTTTTGTTCTGGAACATAATGTGCACCCGACGTGCACATTATGTTCCAGAACATTTTTACCTTTAACAGTGCCAATTTTTCCATCTAGAAAAGTCTGTTTTGCTGCTGAAGTCCTGTTCACTCTTCATCTGTCTCTGTGCTGTAAGCACTAAACACCAACACGCTCCACTGTGAATGTGGAAACACCGGCTGACTTCAGCTCAATCAGATGAACATATACATCATATAAATCAAGTGGACAATTTGTTTGGCTACAGCAAAATATGTTTTATGCCCGCATTGTTTGTATACAAAACGCAAAACTATGAGTTATGGGTCTTACCTTATAGCTATACCTTATAAATGACCTGCACAGTCCACTTCGGTTCAGACCAGTTCCTTGTTTAAATCCAGTTAATGGTTTGAGCGTAGATATGTAATCCTCCATTTGGAAATGAGTCCAATGAGTTTTAAAAAGTAAAACAAAACGCGTGTGTCCTCCATAAACTCCTGTGTTTTGCTAGCGGCAGCCGAGTGCATCCAATTTCTAAAATCAACCGTCTTACACTTCACCTCTCTTTCTTATCATTCCTATAGTAATTGAAAAATTACCCTATGTGCATTTTAGATTATGTAAAAATGTGTTATATGTATGTTAGCCAAACCTGTTGCTGTCCTTAGCAGATAAACCAGGAAGAGCAAGGAGCTTATCGATGGAATTGTATGCAGCCGACTTCTGCGCTCACATGCGCTCCTCTGTGGCTGACCTCACGGTGATACAAGCCGTGGTTGAGTGCGATTAAGACCCATATTTGTTTCAAAAACACAATTTATGAGCCATCCTCTCAACTGTAGACATGTGGATTGTAAAGGAAATATGATTTACATCCGCCAATAATTGCTGAGAGGTTTTCTCATCCTCCCTTCTCTCATGACAACACGTTCATTGTGCGTCTTGAGTAACGCGCAGTAACGGGATGTCGGAAATGATAACGGCGTTATAGTTACTGTCAAAGTAATTAGTTAGATTACTCGTTACTGAAAAAAGTAACGGCGTTAGTAACGCCGTTACTAGTAACGCCGTTATTCCCATCACTGCTGACCACAGATCTATCAGGGCTTCAGCCGACAGCTTCAACACCAAAACTACTCTAGGTACTCTAGTTTAAATGGTACTCTGGTACCAGATTACCATTTAAATCAATGGATTTCACTTAAAATCCCAAAATTGGGATTATAAACATAAGAAGACTTAATGAGCTTTTTACATTCCCCAACAATGTTTATTCTTCACCTTAATTGATTAGGTTTTTACCTTTCCTCACAAGAGTCACATGGGTGGTCACATGGTGTCATGTTCATGTTCTGCGTACTTTTCATTGGCAACTGGTAATTAGCCCTCATTAATTGAATAGTAATTAGTAAGTTCTAATTAGTGTACCCTAACCCTAACCCACTTGGGAAAGTGTCAGTTAATAGTTAGTTGAATTTGTTGAAGATTTTGATTGAGACCATGTAGAATAAGGACTAACAAGTGCTTAATAAATACCAATTAAGAGCTAATTAACTTTAACGTATGCACTAATTAGCACTTAGTTAGCTGTTAATTAGTTAGGACTAAACTGAAGCGTTACGCTTCACTATTTAAACTGTACTGACGACGAATGATGCTCTGACTTTGACCACATTGTTATGATTTTGGTTTTTGTTCTGTTCCCCACCTTTGTTTTCTGTTCCAGCAGAGCAGTGTGTGGCAGGGGCGTGGCTGACTTCTCCTGGTGCTGAGTCTCAACACCTGTGCTTCATCACTAATTAAAACCAGTATGAATGCCTGGATTTCTCAGCACCACACTGCCAGATTATTCCATCGTGCTCGGTAGCTTTTCAGAAGCTGGATCAAGTTTCAGTCACTTTTTTGGATACTTACCTGTTTTTCTCCCGTGTGCCTAGATATCGCCAGAGCCTGAGTTCCAGTCGGCCTGTTCCCTGCCTCCACTGCCTGCCACCACTGCCCGCCTCCAATATTGTTTGGAATAAACTCTTGAAACTTGTTTCTGTATCAGTCTCTGCTTTGGGGTCCAATAACTAAACGCAACACATATACAGTAAGATTGACTATGAATACAGCCATCCTGAGAATTCCAAAAAAAATCAACGGACATGTCCCCTGTCCCTCATGTACTGACCGGCTGCCCCCCCCACCAGCGGTGGTTTAGTTTCTCTCGTCCTCTCAGAGTGAAGGTGGCGTTGAACACAGGGTCATGCATCGTGTTTCCCACAATGCCATGGGACTCCGGGTACAAGCCCTGTACACACACATACACACACACACATAGAAACACATTGACACACGCATAAAAACAGATAGAGACACACACACATATACAGACACACATATACAGACACGTGTAAAATGGACTAGGAACAGAAACGGTCTCTTCACTAAAGCCGCACTCACCGTGGCCAAAGAGTAGAGGTTTGGGAAGGTTTTGGATGGATAGACAGGCCTCATGTATGGAGATGAGGTCCCACAGGCCCCTGACACACACACAAATACACACACATGCAAACACAAAAACACGGACACACACACACACACACACACACACACACACACACACACACACACACACACTAATTAACTTGTTGACCGCCAAAATTGTATAATTACATGAGCTCAGGTCTAACAGAGCTGAAGGACATTTCCCTATTGAGCATGTTTTTAGTGGTAGGGGAAGCCGGAGATACCGGAGGAAACCAAGGCAGACACGGGGAGAACATGCAAACTCTCCTTGTTCCGACCGAGACTTGTTGAGATGCAAGAGCGCCAACCACTCAGCCACAGTTTATGTCAATATGTGGGTAAAATGACCAAAAAACAAGAGCCAATCAGAAGCAAATGATAGATAACACTAACTTACAAATCTTTGAAGCGTAAACTGACAAAAACGGTTACTGAGCAGGAGGAGTTTACTTTTATATGTAAGGAGCCAGAGCCAAACTTCACCCTGAGAACTTCATTGAGCAAGCAGGTTAGCATTGTCCAGCTACTTACTGAGTTTGTGGAGGTTGGGGATCACTGCTCGTCCTTTCTTCAGATACGAGGCTCTGAATCCATCCACAGACAACATGATAAGAGGAGGACGAATGAAACTGCAGGACAAAAGAAAGTCATGTCAGGACGGGAGACAGGGACCAGAGAGAGACCAGAGAGAGACACCACTGAGGGACCAGAGAGGGACCAGAGAAAGACACCACTGAGGGACCAGAGAGGGACCAGAGAGAGACACCACTGAGGGACTAGAGAGGGACCAGAGAGAGAGACAATTAGAATGAGGCAATCTATCTATGATGAGGCAATCTATTAGAATCTATCTATATCTATAAAAGATCATTTTACTTCCTCTCCTTCCTGCAGTCAAGCTCACGTTGACCCTCCTCCTCAAAGTTGGTCATCCAGGCTGGTAGAAATTATACAAAATCACTAGCACTATTTTGGCCCCCATCAAAAATCTAATGAATGAATACATCCCGACAGAAAACTCCCTGCATCACTTCAACCAATCCACACCAGAACCCTTTGGCGTCTGGTCATTCCTCATCACATCAATACACTCCAGTAATATATAATCTTATATTCTCAACTTTAACACCCCAGTTCCTCCTTAATTTGTTTAACCCGAAATCAACTTAGATGTGTATTGTTTTGCTTCTCTCTCTCCTCACTCTTGATCATTCATTTATTTACACTTCTGTTTACCTCTTCTACAATAACATAAAAGCTGCAACAGGACTATTCATTAGTATTATTATGATTGTTATTGTTATTATTGTTATCATTATTCTTTTATTTATTTTCTCCTTTTGGTGGCAGTTGAAGTGGCTATATCATTATTATTTTTATGTATTTATTCTCCCTATAATTAATTATCCTGATAACACCACTCATGTCATATCTAATTATTCCTTCGGTTTATATTATTATCATTATCATTTAGTAAATATGTATTTATATACATATACCTATACTTACTTACTTACTTACCTATACACTCACAATCTTCAATTCCACCCTCAAAATTCATCTGTTTAGACAAGCCTACTCACTAACATCATAACCACACTCTCCTCTGTCCATGATGCTTTTAACTTTGTATTTTAACTGTTTTCAAAAATGCACTTTTTTACTTGTATGTAAGGCGACCTTGAGTGTCAAGAAAGGCGCCTAAGAAATAAAATGTATTATTATTATTATTATTATTACATATAATAAAAGTAAGCTAAATAAATAAATAAGGAGTGAAAACAAACATCCCCCATATCTTTTATCAGATATGTCTGACTTTTTAATGCACCGCATTTCACAAACGTTTTATATATACATGTATATTAGGGCTGTCAAACGATTCAAATTTTGTAGTTGATCAATCGCATAGTAATGGTGAGTTAACTCACGATTAATTACATTTTTAACATTTGAAGTTAAAGGAGATAATCAAATGAAATTACACATTGTCATTCATACCAAATGTACTTAAATCTGTTTGCTTTGCTCACAACCTTTTACTTTTGGGCACAACCAACATGAGCTGTTAATGAAAGTAAAAATGTACGTACCCCAGCTTTAATTTAGCGAGTTTAGTGGCGTTTCAGGAGGAGACGCTTCAGCTGTGTTTTGCGTGCACAGGTTACGCACAGGTTACGCAAAGACACGCACACAACATGCAGAGAATAAGTTCTGTGTGTGTATGGTCTTATATGCCATTCACCGTGTTGTTGGCTCACAGGCAGCTAACAACAACCAGAGTGGCCGCAGCTGCCCCGGGTCAGAAGGCGTGTATTCTTTTAAAACTTGAATTCCCAGAGACCTGCTCTGTCGGTATGTCACACACGCATGTGCGATCATTTTGACAGCTATAATATATCCATCCATCCATCCATTTTCTACCTTTTAATCCATTTCTGGGTCAGGGGGGTGGCAGTCAGAGATGCCACCCAAGTCTCATAGCACCAGCCCCTCACTGACCCTCTGCAGGTGGTGAGCCTTGATCTTTCAGTGGGGGCTTTGGGCAAAGTGGGGTTAAGTGTCTTGCCCAAGGACACAACGACAGTAGTAATCTTTATTAGTAGTAATCTTTATTTATATACCGCCTTTTCACTGCACATCGGAGTCTCAAAGCGGTTATTTTTGGGAGTAGGGGTGCCAGTACAGGAGGCACATGCCAGACCTATTGTACATATTTTTAGTGGTAGGGGAAACCGGAGCACCCGGAGGAAACCTACGCAGACACGGGAAGAACATGCAAACTCCACTCAGAAAGGCCCTGGTCCAACCGGGATTCGAACCCAGGACCTTCTTGCTGAGAGGCGAGAGTGCTATCCACTCAGCCACCGTGCCGCCCAGCACAGTCAGTCATCGGTGGGAGTCGGTGGAGAAGGTGTAGAGGTGGCCATAATATATATATATATATATATATATATATGTTACATAGCTGACTATCTTTGAAACCTGGTGAGATGATGTTAGTGAGGGAGCCAGGGAGGTCTCAAAGGGTCTCCTCTCTGTGGAAAATTAATCTCCTGTCTATTTCCCACAGAGTCTGTAGAAACACAGCCTACTGTGTTACAGAATAAGAAGACACACAAAAAAATAAGTTGGTCATCCTTCAAGGCAGTTTCTCAAGTGGATATTGTATCCACTATAAATAGTATGCAAGTGTCCACTTTTTGCAAAGATAAAAGTTCATAAGTACTTCTGTATTTTGTATTTTCAAACGTTAAAATTCATCCAATACAATTGTGTGGTCTGTGAGAAGGAAGAGCAGACACTGCAGGAGAAGTAAACTGACCCAGCAGGACATTCAGGCGCCTGGATCTCCTCACACTCGTCCTGCACCCACAAGGTCTCACCTACAACGAAATATATAGACATATAAAAGTAGTAGTAGTAGTAGTAGTAGAAGTAGCAGCAGCAGCAGCAGCAGCAGCAGCAGTAGTAGTAGTAGTAGTAGTGGCATTAGCAATACTAATAGTAGCAGTAGCAGTAGTAGCAGCAGCAGCAGCAGAAGTAGTAATATTAGTAGTAGTGACATTAGTATATAGAAGAAGTAGTAGCAGTAGTAGCAATAACAGTAGTAGTAGCAGTACCTTTGCACGTGGCCTTGTAGTTGGCGCAGCAGTCTCCTCTCTCCACACAATCCTCGGAGCAGTGACAGGCCTGGTCCTCGCCTCGCTCCTCTCCACATCTGTCTGGGGTACACTCAAAACCCCCGCCTGAAAACACAAGAGAAATACAATTATTGCTACTGCTACTATTACTGCTGCTACTGAAACTGAACAAAAGCGATCTCCTTCAACACTCTTCATTTTCAGTGATGGGAATAACGGCGTTACTAGTTGTGTCCTTGGGCAAGACACTTAACCCTACTTTGCCCAAAGCCCCAACTGAAAAGATCTCAGCTCCTGTGGACTCACCACCTGCAGGAGGATCAGTGAGGGGCTGGTGCTCTGTGTACTGGGTACAGCTCTGACTGCCACCCCCCCGACCCAGAAATGGATTAAGGGGAAGAGGATGGATGGATGGATGGACATTTGCTACTACTACTACTACTACTGCTGTGACTGCGGACCAATGAAAAGAGCACACAGCTGTGTTTGTGGAGCTAACAACATCAGTGAGAGGAGGAAATTACTTTTTAATTCTAGGACATGTTGACCCAGTGTGTTGTTCATTTAGCTTAAGCATAATTATAGGGAGTCAGCTCTGTCTGCTGGGGGTAGGTGAGGTTTAACGGTCATTACCATGGTAACAGTCCCCCGTGCCCAAAGTGTGGCCCCGTCAAATATCGGCCACATGTTAGAAGTGGACTGACCGAGTTTTACGTTATCATTGGGTTAGCCAAATGTGGAAGAGGCATGGATATATGTTTTGGTGGTTGGTGTTGCTGGTTAAACCTGTCTCCACATGGACTAGAGGCCACCCACGGTACTGCAGCATAACTCCACATGAGCTGTAGGGAGATTTCCATCTGGAAATCTGGCTTTGACCTGCAGGTTGCACCAACAAACAATCACAACCATCAAAACATGTGAATATTTCATTTTAGTCTGGTATCCAAGAACTAAAGAGAACTAATAACAAAAATAGTAAGAAGGCTTGGGTTTATATATAAGTTTATGTTGTGTGTCCAGTACAACCCTGTGCCGTTTGTGATTGAAGCTGAAGTTGTGCATAGGGCTGTCAAAATTATCGCGTTAACGCACGTTAATTAATTTTTTTCATTAATCGCGTTAAGAAAATTAACGCATTTGACGCATGCCCATGCGTCCCATATTAACACTCAGAATGCCGCGGACACATGCGTGTGTAAGATGGGGACAGAACAGGTAGGCCCTCTGGGAATACACGCGTGACCGCGGGGCACTTGTAGTTTCCTGTATGAACTCTGCATGATGAGCTGCGGGCGCCACAGCGCTCTGGACAGCAGTTCCCACTTCCAGCGGCTGTAATGACGGCGAGCGGCGCTGCGTAATGGGATCATATCCAAGACCACGCACAGAACTACTACAGAACTATTCTCTCGTGTGCGTACCTGTCTTTGCGTAACCGATGCACACAATATGTACAGCGCTGAAGCTGGACTGCGGAGCCTCAGTCTCCTCCGTGTCTTCTCCCAAAGCGCACTCGCTAAATTAAAGCTGAGGTACCTAATTTTCTTTTCGACTACCAGTTCATGTTAGTTGTTCAAACAAAAGTTATGGTGTGAGCAACTCAAACAGATTTAATGACATTCTGCTTCAGACTGTTTTGAAATATTCCTCATCTTTAACAAACAATGGTTTTGGTCTGAGTCTAAACAGAAAGACAGAATGTTAATAATGTTAATTCCATTTTATATGGATTTATTGTTATAACAAACAAATACAGTACATATGTTCACTAAGCTGTAATTTATCTTTCCATTCAAACAACCATTTACGGAAAAATATGGCATAATTTTTCCAATAGTTTGAAATGTGATTAATTACGATTAATTAATTTTTAAGCTGTAATTAACTCGATTAAAAAAAATAATCGTTTGACAGCTCTAGTTGTGCAGTTAAAGATGAAAAGGTTATGTGGGTGAAGTGTTTGCAGACCTGTTTTGAGGCAGTGCTCATCGAAGTCAAAACAGCAGCTGAGATACGTTTTACAGAGATTGTCACATCTGCAGCCGGGAGCTTTGGCCTCTTCCAGCTCAAAACATCTGCCCAGACACGAGCCGGACGAGCTGATCCACTCCGAGACCACTGCAACAAGGAAAGCGATCAACAGGCAGACAGAACTGTGAGTGTCCTAGTGAGACAAAGGGATAGTGGAACAGGGATAGTGACAGCGTAACAAGCCATGGAGTCGTGTTTGAGTGAGTGAAGTTCAGGGTTTGGTTTGTAGCTAGGGATGCAAAGAGATGGCAAATGTCCTGTTTCTGGTAAATTTAAATGGGGAGTCTTGGAAATATTGAAAAAACTACATTAAACATGTGTTTGTCTGTGGCATTTACAATTAAAATATTTCATCATTGTATTCCCCCAGAATATCATAAAAAATGTGTTTAGTCCACAGGCTCAAATGTGCTCTCAATAGTCTTGTGCTTTAGGTTCAAAAGTGTCTCCAGTCTTCTAGAAACATGTGATGGAGGCACAGGATCAGTAGTGCGTGTGGTCTCTGAGGTGAAGTCTATTTGAATGGCATCTGTTTATTTTATTCAAGATGGGCCAAAGTATACATCCCTCAACTATTAAAGTTCTCTATAAAGAACCAACCTTCAGTTAGTTCTGGTTAATGTCCATGGCAAGTTCAGTCTTTAAAAAATCCCAGAATTTTGCAACCCTCGCTCTAACCCCTGCATGCACTGCTATTTCCTTTAAAATGTTGTCTTTCTGGTCTCTCTTTGGTCTCTCTCTGGGTGCCTCTCTTAAGGTCAGTGGTTTAAGGCCAGTGGTGACTGACCAGCCGCAAAAACTGAAGAGGACTGAAGAAGTGTGTGTGTGTGTGTGTGTGTGTGCGTGTGTGTGTGTGTGGGTGAGGACACTAGTTTTTGTTTTTGTTCATGCTAGCTTTTACGTTTGAATTTAGCAACTGACTGAGGTAAAACTTTTCATTTCATTTCATAAAGTCAGGTAACTTTTCTATCTTTGCAAGTCTCTTTGGTCTGGGGGTCTCTCACCTTTGGTCTGGGGTGAGGGGGGGTCTCCTCCTTCTGACGGGCGACTTGCCTGGAACACGTACGACCTGCTCAAGTCTAAAAAGCTCAGCAGCAACAGCATCTGTAAAACACACACATGTACCTTAGACAAACAGCACAGGGGTGCCTAGCTGGTACCAAAGTGTGAGCTTCTGGAAGACATGGTTGGTAGAGATCAAGCCCCGGCGATTGAAGATGGTAACCTATTCAAATCAGTGGTTTGTGATCAGTGGCGCAAGTGCCACCATGGGCACCGAAAGAATAGTTGAACTTGGCCCTATTTGGGCATCGTCTGGTTTTGTTTTGTTTGTTTTTATTCAGATCCCCATTAGCTACTGAAAGAGACAGTAGCTATTCTTCCTGGGGTCTATATACTTCATGTCACATAATATAACGTACAAAGGATAATAATGAATGTAGAAAAACAAAATTATATATATACATACACATATATATACAACACACATGTACACCATACATACACATATATACACATACATACATACATACATACACACATACATATACATATACATACATATACATACATATACATACACATACATACATACATACATACATACATATATACATATATATACATACACACACACATAAGCACGCACGCACACACACACACAAACAATACAAAAACGTTATAACAAAAATACACAGTAACCATCTATACACACACACACAAAAACATCCACACGACAACATTAACAGCAGCAACAAAAATAATCTAAATTTAAAAAATGTCTACCATCCATTTTCTACCCTTTAATCCATTTCTGGGTCAGGGGGGTGGCAATCAGAGATGCCACCCAAGTCTCATAGCACCAGCCCCTCACTGACCCTCTGCAGGTGGTGAGTCCACAGGAGGACGGCTGCTCTCTGAGTGTGAGCATAGCCTTGAGCTTTCAGTGGGGGCTTTGGGCAAAGTGGGGTTAAGTGTCTTGCCCAAGGACACAACGACAGCAGTCATCAGTGGGAGTCGGTGGAGAAGGTGTAGAGGTGGGAATTGAACCCACGACCCTCAGGCCTGAAGGCCAATGCTCTACCAACTGAGCTACTGTCTACATTACATTTTAAACATTCAATTATCCAAATAATCTGGCCCGGACTGGCCATCGGGAGCATCGGGAGATCTCCCGGTGGCCTGCGTGTCAAAGTGGCCTGGGCCTGCCCTATCATCACGGTCTTTTTTTTTTTTTTTCTTTTAATTTAATTTCATCCTCACGGTCTTTGCAAACTCCTACCCTGCCTGGTGGCCTGGTCCAATGAGCAAGGCCCAGGCCAAAGCCAGTGTTGTGCGTGAACGAGTTCAAAAGAACGCGTTCATTGAACACGCTCATTTTTTCGTGAACGTTGAACTGAACGCAACACATTTTTTAATAAAGAACTTGAACGTGAATTAGTTCATATTATGTGTCATGAACGGCAGACAATTTGTTTTCCATTTAAAACTGAGTGAAATCTGTCTCTCTTTTGAAACGCAACGAGAGAAAGTTCCTCCCTCCTGTATTCTCCGCACTGTTTCCGCTGAAAACTAAAAATTCCTACGGTTTCCACCGTCTGTGAACGCACCCCGACTCAGTGTACTTGCGGTGGTGCGGCGCTATATGCTAGTGCTATTCATTGGTTGTTGGACTCACATGTGCCGTGATGAAAACACAGGGGTAAGTCAGTGACACAGGGCCGTTTACATTTGACATAAAGTATAGACACACGTTCTGCAGCGCATTACAGTTTGTACTTATGAGCAGAGATGGGACAACTCAGTTCCCATTGAAACCCATGTAAATCTTGTCTGCATTGGAGTCAAAACATCCTGTGCAGTGTACAGGATATAATTATATATATATATATATATATCACACCACGTATTGTGATTTCTAGCTCGTAGTGAAAAAAAATATTTATTTGAATATCTCGCAAAAAGTAAAATGAACTGAACTTTGAACTAGTTCAGAATTAAAATTGAGAACTTCGAACGTGAACTGTTCACTTTGAGCATGTATGAACTGAACTTGAACTTGTTCAGAAAAGCTGTGAACTGGCACAACACTGGCCAAAGCTTTACTATCATTGGGCCAGAGCAAAATTAAACAAATGTGACGTCACACGTCGGCTACACAGCCAGGCCAGCCTAGCAGTGCACCCAGTGTAGCTTCCCCGGTTGAAATCAGTGGTCTCTCCAACTGATGGTTCATACACGTTTTTATTTTTCCTTTTATATGAGCTGTAACGATGTGATTTTACCTTACTACTTTTTTAACAATAATTGATTAGCTTGTTATAGTTATACACTAATGAACACTTAGTTCATTGTGTGTGTGTGTGTGTGTCTTTATTCTCACTAAGCTCCATAAACGTTACGTTGCTAAGCAACGTACAACAATCCTTAAACGTCCGAGATTATATAAACAGTCAATATTAAAAAAAATAAAGAAAACAAAAGTTTTGACCGTCAATCTTAAAACTATTAAAAGAACATCAAAATACAATGACAAAAACCCAAATTTAGAACCTTGTTTGGCCTGAATGGATGAAAAGCTCCCGGCCTGAAATGTTGTCCCACTCCGGCCCTGCAAATAATATAAATACAACTCAAAAATACAAAAACAAATCAGTGCCATTCTTCAGTGAAAAGGAAAACTCTCAATCTTTTATGAAAATAAAGTGCATTCATCCCATCTACCAGAAACTGGGGTAGTGAGTTCCATGCCACCATCGCCCTGTAGTGCAGTGTCCTCTGGATCTGGTTGGTGCGATATGCAGGTCAGAGGAAACGTCTGTCCCTGGCCTGTCGAGTGGAATACTGGTGCACATCACTGAAGAAGGTCAATCTAGTAAAGAGTATCTCTGGTGTTTTTGTTATTATCATCTTTCTGATCATATTAACCAGAGAATATTTGATGCTCCCTCTAACATACAGCCAGGACAACTTGTGGTGCATCTTACTTATGCTGCTTCTGAAAGAACAGTTCAGAACGAGCCGAGCCACTTTATTTTGTACTATTTGAAGTTTGTTTAAATTTGCCTTTGTTGTGTTTGACCAAATTACAGAACAGTAATCTAGATGTGATAAAACAATTGAATCAACTAATAGTTTACATATTTGGTTTGGTATACAGTTTCTGCTCTGCTTCACTGCAGCCAGACCCCTGCCCATTTTGTTTAATATTTGCTTTATATGACTATTCCAGGTCAACATATGATCTACTGTGACACCCAGCAGCTTGGTCTCAGTGACTTGTTCTATAGATTTACCTTCTATGGTCACATTTATACCAGGGGAATTTCTTAAGTGATGCATTGATCCTAACACCATGCATTTGGTCTTTTCAGGATTAATAACCAATTTATTTTCATTCATCCAATCCTCAATTGATTTCAAATCTTCTTGTATGTTTTCATTTAAATTAGCAAGGTTAGTGTCAGACAGATAAATGGTTGAATCGTCTGCATAAAGGGCAATAATGGCACGTTTCAAAATACACGACAATTCATTTGTAAGATTGAAAATAAAAGCGGCCCAAGACAGCTTCCTTGAGGCACTCCACAACTCAGTGTCTTTTTTTCAGAATAACTGCCGTAAAATAATACAATAAACTCTCTGTTAGTTAAATAACTTTTGACCCACTTGATAGCAGAATTTTCAAAACCATAGCAAGTTAATTTATTCAGTAATAAATCATGATCAAGTAAATCAAACGCTGCACTCAAATCTAGCTATACTGTCCCAATAATGTTTCTTTTTTCCATTTCATGTATCCAATCAACCACAACCACAATCAACCAGAGCAACCACATCATGCACCAGTTTCAGCAGCTTCACATCAATTTCATCAATGCCCGAAGGCTTGAGTTTCATGAGTTTTAGAACATTTTCAACAACGGTCGTACTCACTTTTTCAAACCTAAATGTACACAATTTACCACCCATTATTACATCTTTGATTGAGGTCCTCCTGGTTCTGCGCAGTGGACGAGCTCCAATGCTGCGTTGCACCAAACACATGTGTGGCTCTCAAGCACGTTCACTTTGACCAATCAGAACCAAAAAAAACTGAAGGATTTAAGAAGGGACACTGAAATCCCCACGAGCTGTTTTAGTTTAAATTAAGTTCTATGGGGAAAAATTCTGGGTAGCCCATGTGAATTTAGCCTTGTTTAGTCTGCTGTACCATAAGAATCCCCCGAGCACATGGGTCTTTCTGCTTCAAGCTAGTAATCCCCTATCCAGATATTATAATAGATCCATGATAGGGATGCACCGTTAACGATACTATCGGAGATCACAGATACTGGTATCAAGTCTCGGGAGGACACCATAGGCTTGTACTTGTACTTGTACTCATACCATAGAACCTGACGCCAGCCAACCGATACCCACATTTTCAATTTACATTAATGTCACAACAGCAGACAGCTGTACCGCATCTGTTGCTATGGTGATCTCTGAAAGTCTTCAGCGAGAAACCAATTGGCTAGCAGCCAACAAGCTAGCAGCAAGCGAACAGTATTTTGAGTACTTTTGAAAGTAATCGAGTGACAAGAGTAAAGCAAAACAAACACGTATAAGACCAGCAACTTGATCAAACATCTGAAAACCAACCACCACGCGGAGTATAACACCTTTGCTAGCACCGGACCACACAAAAACAACTCTACAACATAGCATTTAGTTTCATGAATTCACAGGGATATTACCATGGAGTACTTGTATCAGTATTCAGTATCGGCAAGTACTCAAATTAAGGTACTCATACTTGTATCGGTTTTGAAAAAAGTGGTATCAGTGCGTCCCTAATGGTTACAGAAGCGTACGGCACCAGATGCTAAAATGTAATGGAAACAAAACCGGGTAGAGCAGAGTAGAGTACAGAAGTGTAGAGTACGGCCATGTATGCTCGTGGAAACAGCGCTTTTACTGAACAACATTATTAGAACAAGTGACATAGTGTATTTCCTAGGAACACTGTGAGGAATCTTGGATTCGCTATTGACCGAGACACTTCCTTCAATTCACATACAGTATAAATCAAGCAACTAAAAAAGCACATTTCTTTGTGCGCA